GATTCAAATTTGATTAAATTGTTTCCTCATACATTAAAAAAAATTTTAAACTATGAGTTCATTATGTTATGCAGGTTTGCCACTTCTCAGCTTCCAAGTGATTTATCAATTCGAGTTGAAGACATCACATTCTATGTTCACAAGGTAAGTAAAAGACACTTGGATATAAATATTCACTACTAAAAAAACACAAATTCTAACAAATATTTTGTAAATAAATTCTTTGTTATAGTTGATTAATAGAAAATCGAAAATACAAATTTTGAAATTGAAGTTATTAATATTGTATAATTGGTGTTAGATTAATAGGTTTAATTGCAATTTTGATTATGTCTAACATGTTTAAAACCACAAGATTCTAAGACATCTCCAGTTTAAGATATTAAAAAAATATTCTTTCTTATTTTTTTGGCCCAAGCCTAGTTAAACTAAAACACTTAAATTGAAACTAATTAGGTATTACATAGCTTCAATCTTGTGAGTTCAATATTACACTTAAAAGAGGCATATGTTGTAGTATTAGCCTTATTTTTGTAGTTTCTTACTCTGTGTTGTGTATTGTGTTTCGATTATCGCCCTATTTTATTGTTGTTACTGTTTCTTTTCTGAATTTTCTGCACTACTTTCCTTGTTAGTTACTGTGCTCTCTTCACTGTCATTTTTTTCTTTTCGTAACTACTTCGATTTGTTGCACTTGAGTCAAGGGTCCTTTGAAAACATCTCTCTACCTCCACTATCTTGTGGAGTAAGGTCTGCATACATTCTACCCTCCTCGGACCCAACTCGTGGAATTTCACTCATATGTTGTGTTGTTGTACTAATTACTGAGAAGTTAATTCAAGTTTGTGTAATCTTGAAACAGTATCCACTTATTGCAAGGTGTGGCTACTTGAATCAAATTGAACTTCATGAGCCTCAAAATTCACATTTAGGATATGATATCAAGCTTGAAAAGTTTCCAGGTGGATCAGAAACTTTTGAGACAATTGTAAAATTCTGTTATGGCTTGCCAATAAGTCTAAATCCAGCAAATGTAGCAGCATTGAGATGTGGATCAGAGTTTTTAGAGATGACAGAAGCAATGGAAGAAGGGAATTTGATCTCGAAAACGGAAGCTTTCTTCACATTTGTAGCCCTTTCATCGTGGAATGACACAATCGCGGTCATCAAATCATGTGAAATGCTATCTCCATGGGCTGAAAATTTACAGATTGTGAGAAGGTGTTGTGACTCAATTGCCTGGAAGATATTTAGAGAGAATTCATCAGCAGGGGAAATCATAATGAACGAAGGAACATGGTGGTTCGATGATGTTTCCACTCTCCGTATTGATTTCTTTATGAGGATCATTACAGCAGTGAGTGTAAAAGGGATCAAACCTGAGATCATTGGTTCGTGTATTATGAACTACGGAGAGAAGTGTTTGCCTAGCATGTATGGCGATACGAAAGGAATGGATTGTAAAAGTGGTACTAATAGAAGGAACGATTCGCAATGGAGCATCACGAGTGGGAGGATCGTGGAAACGAGCATTGGACAGAATAAGGAACAGAGAACAATTATAGAGAGCTTGATCAGTATATTACCTCCTCAGAAGGAAACTGTTTCTTGCAAGTTTCTTTTAAGGTTGTTGAAGATGTCAATTGTGTATGCTGCATCACCAGCTTTGATTTCCGAGCTTGAGAAAAGAATCGGGATGGTGCTCGAAAATGCCAGCACGAACGACCTCTTGATACCTACATATGCAGTCGGTGAACAAACAATCAAGTGAGTTACTATCACTCTCAAGTTTCAATTTTCATCAGAACATTAACACTGTGCGCTTAAGCCCTGAAGTGAGGCGCAAAACATGGTGAGACGCTTCACATCGCTTAGAGGGTGCTTCACTATCGTCATCAAGGCTCTAAGGCATACTTTTCCTTGCCAATGAGCTTAATCCTGAAGAAACGACGCTAAACAGTGTTATTATTTTTTTTTTTCAATTCATTTATGCATATACTCCTTCCGTTTCAATTTGTTTGTCTTACTTTCTTTTTTAGTCTGTTTCAAAAGGAATGCATCCTTCCTTTTATGGAAACTCTATAATTCTAACTTTTCACGTGACATGTTTAAGACAACAAGATTCAGAAGTCTTCTTTACTTAAATTCCGTGTCAAGTCAAAACCAAACAAACAAATTGAAACAAATGGAGTATTTGTTATTCGTGCTTATAATTATTAGTCTTGGACTACATATACATATTTTATCTCTTCTCCATTAAAATTCATAATTTGTTTGCGCTTAAAGCCTCAACGGACATAGCATTATGCAGTTTTCGTCTTTGATAACACTGCTCTTAACCAGTTTCATTGAATACAGTTCAAATGAAGAACAGACTATCCATAACATAGATGTGGTGCAGAGGATTTTGGATTATTTCCTGATGTATGAACAGCAAAAATTGCAGCAACAAGAACTGAAGTCGACGACATTGAATATCAGTAAACTGTTTGACAGCTACCTAGTGGAAATCGCGAGAGACCCCAATGTATCTATCACTAAGTTCCGAGTTTTAGCTGAATCATTGCCTCGACATGTTCGAACATGTCATGATGGACTCTACAGAGCTATTGATACATACCTTAAGGTTATTTCAGCTTCTGCAATCAAACTATCTAGCACTTTATTTTGAATCTGCAATCGAAAAAAGTAAAGTACAATGAAGTTTTATATCTTCTACAGACTCATCCTTCACTGTCTGAACATGATCGACGAAGGCTATGCAAGATCATGGACTGCGGAAAATTGTCACTTGATGGATGCATGCACGCTGCACAAAACGAAAGGTTGCCTATGAGAATCATTATCCAGGTAAAATCTACCTTCCAAAGAGATTCATGTGTGTTAACCTATGCTCGGACTCTTCAAAAATGCCATCAGGTACATGTTGGATCCTCTACAAAGTAGCGTACTTTTGGAGGATTTGACGTGGTGAGGCAACATTTTTAGTGAGTCCGAGCATCATAGGTGTTAAAACATTTAACGAAATAACAAGCATTATGCTGGCAGCAAACTTAGGTAGATTACACTTCAGTTTCCAACTTAGCATCAGGTATATCAAGATTTTAACAAGAGTAAAGCATGTAAGGCAAGTCTCCTGTACATCGCGATCTAAACTGATAAGGATCTCGAAAATTGGTGTTATTACATGCACAAACATCCAGTATCCGAGCAATATATAAGATCTCGAGGACAATGTGGAATCCCGGACCCCCCATAGCCAATGATTGTAACATGTTGAAAGGTAAAAGGGGTTTTTATTGAAATTACAACAATGCAATCCCACAAGTAGAGTCTGGGGAGGGTAGAGTGTACGCAGACCAATGATCAATGAAAGCATTCAAGAAGCCTAGCATGGATTTTAAAAACCAAGAAAAAAGGAGTTCCATCAACTAACTTTGCGAATGAACAACAACATACCCAAACCTTACCCCTACCTTTGCAAATGAATACTCCTAAAAAAACAGGAACTAGCAACGGACAAATTATCGATGAAATTTCTAGTTACTTTCATGTTTTTAGTGTGCACTATTGAAAAGACAGGAATTAGTGACAGACAAATTTTATAGCTAAACAACAAAATCAGTCAGTAATCCTATTGAGCAACAGATTATTAAAGAAAATTGTTAGCTACGAGCTATTTAGCAGCAGATTAGGTAATAGAAACATAAATACCAGCACCTAATCAAAACCTTATAGACATGCTGATTTACGTCTGAATTTCGAAGAGAATAATGCAGGTTTTGCTGTCGGAGCAAGTGAAGATGAGGGCTGCAGTACATGGTAAGGATATTACAGAGAGTGATGATAACTCAGACAAGGAAAATAGCTGGTCATCAACGAAGAACGAGGTCAAGTCCCTTAGAGAAGAACTCGAAAATGTGAAGATTCAAATGGCTGAGCTTCATAGGGACTACTCTGAGCTGCAACAAGAATACGAGAAGACAAACAACAAGCATAGAAGTCCGTGGACATCGGGATGGAGGAAGATGAAAAAGTCTGCACTTTTCATTAGAAAAATGATCGAGGATGAAACTCAAGAGGGAGAGCATAAAGTTAAACCAGGCCGAAGAACACAATCCATATCTTAAGTGCAAAGTTTATACTTGTTTTCATGTATCTGGTTGATGAACTGATTAAAGTACAACTCTTTGTGGCATGGATGGAGTTTGGATGCATATTGTAAGTTATCTATGTTGGTCGGACTTTTCAAAATGACATAATATGCGTCCTACATAATATAATACAATCAGCATATCTCAGGTGAATTGTCATATAAAACGTGTGTATCTACTTGTTCAGCTTTATACAAGTTTAAGTATCTACTTATGTACATCCAAAGTTGAATGACATAGATGTCAGTTGATGCCAAGTTAAAAGACACGTTCATATGTATTATGCCTTGTTCAAAGAAAGAAAGTGACTTCCTTTTTTGGGTAGACAACTTCTTTGGAACATTTCTAAGGAGGAGGAAAGTTTTCTACAAATACTGAAACAAGTTTTACATTATTTCATTTTTTTGTTAACCGTGATCATGACCAACTTTTGAAAACCTCGACTAATTCCATGATATATTGTCACCTTGAAACAATTTTTTTGGTAAATCATGATATAGTTTTTTTTTGTTTTGTTTTATATACATGCAATAGTATTGTGACTACTGAAATAAATATGAATAATCTTGAAAGAAGGGTGTGTAGATTATGTTTTGTTTCAGGGATCCATTTCTGTGGAAAGCTCTGAAAAATCTGAGATGTTTGCCACAAGCAAGCAAGAGGACTGATACTGGCTTTCGGTAAAGTGAATAATACCCCCTTCCAACCTTAACCAGATGTTTCAAGTTCGAGTCCATTTATGAATAATAATATGACGCTATTTACAAACTATATGATGAGTTTTCCAAATTCAGCTTTCACAGTAAATAAGATAAGCAAAGGGGAATTAGAAATTGAGATAAAGAGTGAATTTCCACATAGCTTTTTCACTCATTAGGCGTTACCCTGTCTTTCTGTATCTAAATAACATAACAAATATAATATGAGAAGGCAATAAAAGAGAAAAGCATCTTTCTTTTTACACCCGAGTTCAAGCTCAAACTAAACTTCATCTCGCGGCTTCAAACTAGCTGGTAATCCGCGCACTCTAACTTCTCAGAAAAGGCGATTGCACTTATAGAAGGAGTTTCCAGCCAGAGATCCATCCAATTTCCGCTACTCAATGTGGAATCATGCTGAGGATGTCCATATACATCAAATACAGATATATCTACTAGTAAAGCAACATATTTTTACTCAAATGTTCCAGTTCTGAGGTAGAGTTGGACTCCTCTAAAAATACTTATCCACTCTAAGCACTGTTTTCCTGCTACATGAGTAGAATCGATTGTCCCTTTTGTCAAATATTCATGGGAGTCATAATATGGTGTATTCACAATTCACATTTGCTTCTTTTTAACACGATATGGGTATTTTTGGTATATGCTTATGCTAATCATGACCAATGGAAGTGCCACGAGGCAGTATGGTGAAGGAAGTTTTCCATCGAAGATGAACTGGAGCAAAGCAGTGACAAGAAGTGCAGACACAATGACAAAACCCTGCGCACAATTTAAGACAAGCAGTTAGAAATAGCATTGTCAATAAAATAGACCATACAGTTGACTGTTTCGCTCCACCATGAGCTAACAAGAGAACATATTATGAATAAGAAAAATGAAAATATCCTAGGACTCCACTTCAAGTGTCATAGTAATGTAACAGAACTACAAATGCCTCAAATAAATCAAGGGGAAAGGCACAAGCCGGCGAAGCAATAAAAGAATAGCAAAAAGAAAAAGAGAATTTTCAAGCCCATTCAATTCCGCACAACTTGTAAAGCATAAGAAGTTAAGCAAACACTTACCTTCCTAACACCACCGGCATATGAAGTCACAAGACCCACAAGAATTCCACCAACGGCATTTAAAATAACAGGGATCTGAAACAAAAGAAGTGGAGGTATCATGTAAAATCATGAGTTTTACCTACCTAGATAGATCTGACTCTTCCAAAATAAAAAAAAATGAAAATGAATCTGGGTCATCTTGATTTCTTTTTGTCGTTTCAGTTCATCTTGATCCTTTTAATCGTTCCAGTTCATCTTGATCCTTTTTAATCGTTCCAGTTCATATGGATTTTTTTGATAAAGAAAAATTATGTAAAAGCCTAATTAATGGAACAATTTATTGTCATCAACAAACAAATTAAAAGTGACAATTGGATCTAACCAGAGGATAAGATGCATATGATAACAACACGTCGGGTAAATTAATAGAAGATATCCCCAGGTAGGGAACTAATTAGTTTTTTCAGGAAACCTTCATATTCATGGCGATACTTGTTCCTGGACGTTTTGAGTATTTGCATACCAATTTAACAAGTTTCCATGAATAAAAATTAAAATATATAAAATAAAATTGCATATTTGCAATGCTGATTTACCAAAGTTAATGCAGTCCATCCATAGAAGAATCCATGCTGTCTAATAGCTTCTCCATCTGGGGACTTGGAAGTACTACTTATCAAGCAGAGACTCCCAATAATGGACATCTCAACAGTCATCAGGTAAGATGAGTGTTTCTTAACCTGTAATAGATGAAAAGCATATCAAAATGAAGGAAATGCAAAAGACCCTTTCATAAAATAACAGTGTTTACTTGCCTGAGATGCCCATTGACACAAGGCAGATGCCATACCAGAAAGCACAGATGCAACCAAAACTGGTACAATTCCATAGAATAAGATCTCTTCGGGGTTACTACTACTGGAAGCTTTGCTGGAGCCCTCACCAACACTTAAAAGGACAGCTGCCATGATTAACAAGAAAAGAGCCCCAATTTGTTGAATGGATTGCTTCTGCCTGAGAAAATAAAGGGATTCTGGGGTAACAAGGCTCTCAGGATTCACCTGATACACAATTAGTGTAACTAACAAGAACACTTGCAGGATATAAATGATATCGCAATTGTGGTATAAAGTATCTCGAGATAGCTAATCCCGGAAGTAAATATTCTACCTAGCATGGGATAGAATAAAGGGCAGTCCAGTGCACGAAGAATCCAGCGTTCACACAGAGTCCGCATCCCAAGGGGGGAGGGGGTATAATGTAGACAGTAGTGGTTTGATTCCATAACTCAAACTTGTGACCTATAGGTCACTGTAAAGATATGGCACCTGGCCTAACTCAATCCCAAAAGCTAGCTCATGAGGGGAGGATTGCCCAAGCCCATATAAGGAGACCACCAGTCCATTCCCCAACCAATGTGGGACTTTTTACCCACTCTAACACCCCCTTTCACGCCTAGACCCGACTGGAGCGTGGACCGGGAGCCCAAACGGGGATGGACCTGGCTCTGATACCATGTTAAATTAGGTCTTAGGCCTAACTCACATCCCAAAAGCTAGCTCATGAGGAGAGAATTGCCCAAGCCCATGTAAGGAGACCACCGGTCCACTCCCTAACCAATGTGAGACTTTTTACCCACTCTAATACCATGTGAGAAGAGAAGAGTTTGAGAGCGAACTCAACTTTTCAGTACCATCAGTAGCAGATCCAACTGCAATAGAACCAACATTTGATCCAAAAGATCCTTTGTTCACATTCTGTGGTTTCACCACAACAATGTGCTGGCCTCGTTTAATGACCACATGCTCGTTAGCAAGCACACTCTCGAGGTGATCAAGAAGCTCTTTAGCCTGCCAAATGCCAAAGTCAGGGTCAGCTTCAAGATGATGCCACACTAGTGCACTTTCCTTCTGCTCTATCGACGAACCATCTATTGCCTCGCTGTATTTCTTCATACTAGGCAACACCACTTTTTTCCACTCAGCGTCTGCAGGTACTAGACGAGATTCCCAATCAGAATCCTTACTCCACCTAGTGAAGTAACCATGCTCTGCTGATAAGCCAAGTTCCGGACAATGTAAATATATGGCACCTGGGCCAAGATGAGAAAGGTTTGAGTAAGGGTTTTGGATTTGTATGCTTCTGGGCTGTGGAGGCCTATAACGCTGTGAATACTTTTTATGGATTTATGTTGCACCGAAAGCCGTTATATGTGGCTATTGCTCACAGGAAAGAGGAAAGACAGGCCCAGCTACAGCTACAACACGCACAACAACTCGCCGGACTAACAGGAGCTTCAGCTATGTTTCCTGGCGCATATCCTCCGCTATACTATCCAGGCCATGGTGTTGTTCCTCAAGTACCAGCACGACCTGGGCTGATGTATCAGTCTCTTGCTATTAGGCCAGGTTGGGGTACTAATGGGTTCACAAACACCCTCAGACCTAGCTATCAACCTTCTCCAGTTCCCATGATTCCTAATACTTATTGACCATATCGGCAGAACAGGGGAAGGATGAATGGATATAAGCCAGCTTCAAATGTGACCAATGTGCAGCCATCAGGTCAACCAGCGATGTCATCAAAAGATTCTCAGCGTGCTGGGCAGGTCAGATTTGCGCCGAATGGCCAGACTCGTGATGTGAACAAAGGATCTTTTGGATCAAATGCTGGTTCTATTGCAGTTGGATCTGCTGCTGATGGTACTGAAATGCTGAGTAGTTTGCTTGCTTCTGCTAATTCTGAGCAACAGAAACAGATACTTGAAGAGCTAGCTTTTGGGGTGTGAGTTAGGCCCAAGATCTAATTTAACAGTCACAAATCCCTCGTTTTATCCATGGGATTATAATCCCTTATCCTTAGTACCAAATGACCATATCAGTCTAAGCACTAGTACGGTTGCCAAAGATAAGTCTAAGACAAAGTGGTAACGATCAGTACTGTCAACGGATAGAAAACATTTCGGATCAACATACTAACTTGCATGGTCACGAGTTACGACAAAAGCATACCTCAAAATTATGTAAGTAAACAAGGCTGTGAAGAACAGTTTTGTTTGGTTCAAGATTGAAAACGTGAGTGAATCAAGATTTTTATATGAGATCTGCAATAAGCTGTTTTGTAGTGCATAGATAGCAGCAGGCAGTCCAGATGCAGTCAAAGAGCCAAATAAGGTCCACTCCCTGTAATTTTTCTTCAAAGTGCCTTCTTTTGCCATGAGAACAAGAGCACAAATAACCTGAAAAGTTGGAAGGTATATGCAAGTAAATATGTGCACCCATAGAGTGAAACAATGCAGAGAAAAAAGTATTTACCTTGACTGCTTCACATGTTAAAACAGATGAAGTAACTATCACTTCACGCCTGTAGGAAGAACAGAACAGGAAATACTATTGTCATAATAGTATAAATATTAACAAGAAAGCATTTATCACCAAACAATTTATGTGAAAGGATAAGCATATAGCATTTCCTTTACCAAAATAACAAGAAGTAGCAAAATAAACATAATAAAGAACTTCTTTGAGACAAGGAGGAAACAAGGAAAAAGGTGGAAACTAGGCCAGCCCATAGGGGCTTATCTCAATTTGAGTTTGTTTTTACGTTTATACATCCTACTTTATCTAAGAAATTGATATAATTCTTGCACAAAGCTTTGCTTGCTCATCGAGCCATCCCAATTGGATGTGGGACCATTCCTAACTGGATCGCTACCTAAGGAATTGATCCCCACATCTCCATAGGATTGAGCCAGCTCGAAGCTCCTGGGACTGGAAAAGCTAAACCAGTTCTAGGCGCCTAACCAAGGCTGATTCAATATAACTGAGGCTGGGAGTAACATCACAACCAAGACAATTTTCTTCTAATTCTAGAACTTAGTTTTTATTTATACCAATGTGATATTTGATGAATTGCCTTTGACCTTCTGGCATATTATTAAGAAAGAGAGGACAATTTTCTTATGTTCCCACATGGTACATGATATGGTAAGTCGGTAACCATTGTAATATCTACTGTTGGTTCAGAAAGTCCTTTTAGTCAAGGTAAGTTGCAACTAAGAAGAATGGTGCAAGCAGAACAAGACCAACACAAATTTTCTATTTTGTATATATCGTACTTTATTTGATAAGTCGATAAATGAACACCAAGTGTCAACAGTATGTACAAGTTGTTCATATAACAGTCTGGGTCATCAATAGGTATATATGAGTTACCCGACTAAGTGTACAATATAGGATTTTTTCTTTCCACCAAAAATACAAGTGAAAGAAGAATGATCTTTTAATCTTTGCATGTCATTCTTATTATCTGAAACAATCTTCTGTTCCTTCCATTTCATAAGCAACAAAATAAACATAATGATGATGTTCCCCATGTTGCTTTCTTTCACTGCCAATTTTCTTTTGTCTCCAAGCTGGTGATAGATTCCTCTGCTATTGTTGGTAACAACCACTACATGCTGAACAATGGGAATGCAAAGGTCCACAGTTTCGTAACCTGCCTAATCGTCTCCGAAGTGTTTGTACAAGCAACACCACCTCACAAATATCATTCTCCTCTTTCTCAAATTATCAGATGGCGTCTTGTACAGCACACCAAGCAAACAAAGCAACTTCCTCTTGAGACTTAGAGACCAAATTTTTTTCACACCCCATTCTTACCTACCAACCTGACAACTCCTTGTAATACAATTTAAACATAAAATACTTCGCTCCCAACTCCCACCCCATATTATTAATTCTCCGTCCTTTCCCCGATCACTTTTTTTATAAGGTAAGTTCCCTCCTTCCCCATCATCTATTTCTGAGAAAAGATCCCCAATCTCCTCTTGATCCCAACTTGGATGGCCCTCCTAATGTTAATATCACAAGATGATCTCCTAATTATCCATTCTTAATAATCACATATCTTACCATCATTCTTGTTTATCAATCCGTATATATGCACTCTCAAAAGGTACCCATCAACCATAAATGCTTCTAAAACCTTTGCCTATTTGACAACAACATGAACAGTCTTATATTAGTAAGACTCACTCCCTATGGATCCTTTGGCATTCAAGCATGGTCCTACACACCTAGATTAAACCCATTGTTTAGCTAGTACTATAAATAGGATTAATGTGGAGTCTCTATCCTTTATGATTTTTCGAAGAACTCTTCGGATTCCCAGTAAAGGTGGAGATCTTCTTTGATAATTTTATTCCCTTATCTTCATTATCTACGGGTCAATTGTTACTAACACATTGAATAGTGTTAAATACCAATATGCACGAACAAATAATGCTTAGAATACAGTACAAGCACAACTATATCAACAAAAAAAAAGTTGCATACTTCAACTAGAATTGAGATACAAATTAATATATTCAGAAAATAAAATTACATTCTACAAAAAAAAACTGAAAATTAGATTAAAAATATAAACTGAAGAGTGAAGAGAGTATAATCTGAACCTGACAAAACGCTTGGATATAAGCGGCTGAGCACCATACTGTAAGGTGAGGAGCAAAGAATAAAACCACACTTTGCCGCCGGCTTTTGCCGCCGCCGGGTTCTCGGAGTTCACTTTTTTGGATTCCGTAGCAGCCATAACGGTTGACCCGAAATGTATACACGAATCGGGTTTGTTCCAATCGGATCCTTCGATTATTGCTGCTATCGAACTGGTGAAGGCTTCGCGTGAAGCTTTCTCTGCTGTTTGGCTATGGCGTCGGAAGGGTAATACGGCGCCGTTGGAAGGTGACTTTGAAACTGACACTACTTTGAGTCTTCTATAATGGTTAAAGTTAAAGTTAAAATTAAAATTAAAATTAAAATAAAATAAAAAGACTTTTATTTGCCTAAGGAAGGAATATTTCAATTGAATTTGAAAAAGATAATGTATTGATTTTTTGGATTTCTAAAAAGGAAATAAAATTACAAGTGATTAGAGAAATCATTTTTTATGCTACAATTAGGGTGAGTTTGATATGATAGATATCGAATTATCATATAGATATCAAACTTTTTGATATAAAGCTTCCAACGTTATGATATTTATGGTCAAGTATGGTGTTTGGTATGTATTTTAATTTTTTTGATATTCTATTCGATATTTTTTTGTTTTTTTTTTAAAATAAGATATCAAAGTAGATAGTTATATATATAATTTATATATATTATTATAATGCTAAAAAAATATATAATCTAATATTAGTACAAAATTATTGCTCCTAGATATTGGATTTTGACTACTCTATCTAACTGAAAATAAACAAAAGAGAATTGCTTGTATTTTTTTAAAAATATTTCTATATTTATAAAGTGTATGTTATTACATTATTACATATTGTATAAATGAGATGATATTTCTTGAAAAAATGGAAGTATATTGTTTATTGTATGAATATACGAATTTGTCTATGTACCAATTTGCAATTTGGCATGTGCAATTTGTCTATAGAAGTCTCTCAAAAGACTTCGAAAATAAAAAATATTATAGTACTTTTTAAACACTGTTAAAGTAAATTGAGTTATATTTTTTTCGTTTTATATTGCTTGGTTTACATTGATTAAGTTTTAATTAGAGGTATAACTTATTGAATTAATCATGTTTCGAAATTCTAAATTTGACTACTACTATTTTGTGTAGTTATTAAATATTAAGGACGATATGGAAAAGAAGTAATAAAAATCTCTCAATTTGCTAAAAAGACCAAGTAAAATAAAAAGATGGAAGTAAAAACTTGATCAAGAAGAAACGACAGCATGGCCTCTTTTAAGTCTTCAATCGAGAAATGGTGGTGAAAATCATTTACACCTCCTGAACTTTACTTTAAAATTCAAACTCTCCTTCAACTTTGAGAAATTTCTCTCCCAGAAATAATCAAACTTCCGTCTCAACTTTAATTTAATATTATGACTTTACTGATATAAGGATCCGTGAAATTAAAACTCCAAAACAATAGGCAACATGAAGATGCACTATACTAAAAAAAAAATATAACATATGAAAACAAACAGTTTTATGAGTTTACTAAAACAAGAGGAATGCAAATGATTCAAACACAACACAAAGACTCAATATACTCAAAAGCACCAATTGTACTACAATAAAAAACTTGTTCATCTTCAACATCATAATCACAGAATTTCTCAAAGGTCTTGTTTATAAGATTGTACTTCATTACCTTATCATCATTAACAACTGCCAGAACCAAAAATGCATCCTCTTCTCGTTTACCTCGAACCAGAGATAATATCGTAAAGTTACAATAAGTCAACTCATGATCAGGACGTTCAAAATCAACCTTGTACTTAACAAACCATTCAGAATCATCCCTTCTCATCTCGTATACATGTGTGTCTATTTGTTCAATTTTATACAAGTTTAAGAGTTTACTTGTGCACACTCAAAGTTGGAGGACATGGATCTCAGTGAACCCGAATTAAGAACATATTTACGTGTTATGTCAAGTGTAGAGTAAAGTTTAATGTAATCATCTATGAAATTAACCAACCTATTTCAGTTGAGTGAATTTTACTAGGTAGAAAATAGAATATGTGTGGATGATTAAGAAAAAATGTACAAATCTGTATTGGCTATCAATTACCATCATGTCATCAACTATACCAATTAATGAGTTTTTATAGAATATGAAATCATTTCTATTTAAAAGGGAATGATATTCTCAAAATATGTGGAAATAACAATAACAATATGAATATATGAGAACTAAGTATTTTCAAGAGTAAATGTTTTCACATTTAAAAGAGCAGGAAACTGAGATTTCCCAAAAGAGTTTAAGAGGAGTTTTTGAGTACTATCTCTTTTCAGAGAAATATTTTGAGTAATAATCTTAAACCAGAGGAAGAGTTATGTTTTTAAACATATGAGCTAAGTATATTTTGGGAGTAGTATTGAGCACCGATATGGGGGAGAGTTCAGATAACTCACAGCCCCCATAAACCATGTAGCCAACGTGGGTAGAAAGGGTCATACTTTTTATATCTCAGTTTGTATATGAAAATACAAAATAACTTTGTGGGAGATTCTCTAATCGACAACTATCACTATGAGCTATGTGATGATACAACGTCTAGCCTACGCTGCCAGAACTGTCATATACTTTGCCGGGGTATAGGACCTACTCACTAAGTGGATCCACTAGTCTATGCTTAAAAGCACTAAGGAATCACCTAAAAAGTATGGCCCTTTCTACCCACGTTGGCTACATGATTTATGAGGACTTTGAGTTATCTGAACTCATCCCCATATCGGTGCTCAATACTACTCTCAAAAATATAAACTTAGCTCATATGTTTAAAAACATAAATCTTTCTCTGGTTTGAGATTGTTACTCAAAATATTTCTCTTAAAAGAGATAATGCTAAAAACTGCTCAAGAACTCTTTTGGAAATTGGTGTTTTTCTCTCATCTTAAATGTAAAAACATTTACTATTGGGAATACTTAGTTCTCATATATCATTTTGAAGAAAATGAACTCAACTCTACTCTTCTTCAAACTCAAATGCTCAAGTCTTAAAACAAGTTTAAAAGATTTTGCAAAAGACTTGAAGGAACTCTCAAGATTTAACTCTTAACTCTACCTTGAATTTGAATTATGGATTCAAGGGTTATGATATCATGTTATGGATGATCTCTCGATGTTTAGATGTAATTTAGAGTGTGGATATAAAGTAGAAAACATAGGTACGATTTGAGAGAACTCATACGAAAAGAAGGACGAAAGAGTAGGGGTCCTGGCGCACTGAGTGGGGAGGGGCGCCAACCCCTGAATTACTGAAGGAGGGTTGGGGAGCACTGAGTGGCATGGCGCCCGAGGAGCAAAACTACAAAACATCTTTTTTGCCCAGAACCTCCCGACGAATTTTCTTTCTCGTTTTCTAACCCCAATTCGCCTAGAATCGAATGGTTTATTCCCCACTCACTTAGATTCGAATACCCATCATAAGTACACAATAATCTACTCAAAACAAACCTTAAACTACTAACACTTATCTCAAGAATTCATTAAAAACCAACAATCAAGATTACAAATGAAATTTCAAGAAAACTCTTCAAGAACACAAATCCTTCAACTTCAAGAACGAAATTACACTGAAAATAGCATGATTGACGTGTGGGTGAACGAACCCAACACTATGAGAACTCACATACCTCTTAGGATCGAATCCTTGGCGAAAACCTTTCGAAAATCTCCTGAATCTTGACGAACACTTTGAACTTTTCTCTCTTTCTCCTCTTCTTGAACTCCTCTCAAAACCCTAAACGTATTTAAGATTTGTAAAACTGACCCAAATCATATATGACCCCAAAATATTACTAAAAATCGTTTTAAGCTGAAGGAGTAAGGAAAAGACCAAAATAAAGCTCATTAATTCGGGTAACTTTCCTTAACTGGACAGACAGATATCAAACAGTTGTATCTCTGTCATCTGAACTCGGAACTTAGCAAACTCGATGGCGTTGGAAAGAGGATTTCAAGACCTTTCATTTGATATCTTATGAGCCACCTAACTCATCCTGTACTGAAAGTTATAGTTGATTGAAGTTGACCCAAACCTCACAACTTAAGCATAACTTGAAAATTTTCAGATTTAGCTATTTCCAATTTAGCTCTTTCTAAGGCAAGATGTTACAATACATGACTATACGCGATGTATCAGTTGGATACATCACTTTACGCGATGTATCGAGATGTTACTTTACGTGATATATCAGGACGTTGAGTGATGTATCCAAAACCAAGACGTGATGTATCAAGACGTTGCGGGATGTATCCGAAATCGGGTGTGATGTATCAGGATGTTTTAGGATGTATCTGGATTGTACCAAATTTAAGGGAATTTTGTAATTTGAAAAGGAATAGGGATAGGATTAGGGTAGTTTAAAACCGAACCGAAACCAATAACCCGAACCAAAAAAATGTTATTGGTTTATCTGTAATGACTTACTGATTTAGCGATTTTGATAACGGTTTGGATATTTTTTATTATCGGGTTATCGATGCTTAACAGTTTGAGGTTTTTTCTTAACGGGCTAACCGGTAACTCGATAGTAAATTAAATAATTATATTAATACCATTTTTTATATAAAGTCATTGACTTAGAGTTCAGTTTCCAACTTTTATTTCTGGTTGTCTCAAACTCTTGGTTATTCATGTAAAAGTGTTTGCTTTTGAGCAAGATGCAACTTGTGAACTCATGTGCATGGTTCATTTGGTTTGTCACCTTGTTTCTAAGTGATTTTTCAATATTTTTTGGTGTCGAATCATAATGGTTAAACCGATAAATGAACCAATAACGATCAATAACCGATAAGTCAATATCTTAATGGTTCTATAACGGTTTAGCATATCTACAAATCGATAATCAATAAGTCAAACCAATAAACTTCAAAACTGATTCGAACCGATCGACACACAACTCCAGATAGTATGTAATTAGCTCTTTAACACTATAGAATTTGTGTAAAATCTACATAATTTTATGTAATGCCACGTTATTATAAAATTAAATATATGATTAATTGGTTTGAGAAATATAAGCATTACTAAGTTAAATTGGTCACTGCATTCAATATTGATTGAATTATATCCAATATCTAGTCTAAATTAGAAATCAAATCAAAAGACGTTAAAAAGCTAAAAAATAATAATAAAGCAACAATAAATTCAAAAAAGAAACTGTACAGGGTTAAATTTCTTTGATTTTTAATTTTTAATTTTTAATTTTAAATATTTATTACATTTTCCAACACCCATAAAG